TCATAGCACAGTATAGGACAAATCCTCGGTGGCAACCGCCATGACAGTTCTTCTTAAACGTGACTTAAGTCTAACAAGGTTAGATGATAGGCTTTTTATAAGAAATTAGCTATCAAGGAATATTCGTCTGCGTTAAATGATTTGACCCAAATTTACAGAATATTTGCAGTTTGAAACTAGCTCTGTCAATAATGAGGAAAAATTCAAATTAAGTAATGAATCAATCTCTTCACTGTCTAATTTCGTGGAGCTCTTTCCGATTGAGGTGGCATCAGTTGCTTTCAGCAATGCTCGTTTGACGAATTAATTCTACCATGAGTACTTTTTGTCTGTGTCACCAGTGTCAATTAATTACCTTGTTATCATTATGCATGTTATCACTCTCCACCGGACCTACTAAGTTACCATAGCAACGGTTTAGTCTTTCAAATTAACTTCAAGTTCTAAGTTTAGGGATTAATTGTTAAAATGGTATCGATGACACAACTTTACTTAGATCTTTTTAAAAAGATTACTTACTGACAAAGAGCAGACATTTTGCAAGGTTTAAGGATTAATATCTACCAAAGGACTCATCCAAGAACTTGAAATTGTTGATATTACATTTTACTTCCTGCTGGCATCAAAATGATTGTCTGAATCTAGCCTGGTTTCGCACAAAGACTACTACATTTGTGAACTTCAAATAGACATAATGCTGCCCAAGGCCACGAACAGAACATTAAATTTGTTGGGATGAAAATCTTATTCAAAACTGAACTGGTATAAAAAGGAGCGCTTACAACAGATACTGTGTCAGGGAATTCTCTTCCAAGGTACTCTGTAGCTGTGGTAAAATAAAATGCCAGAACGAGGGTCATAAGATGTTAAAAAAGGCGTTAACTATGAAGGCAGTGAACTGTTTCTCAAATTGCTTCCTGAGTTTATCATCACCTAACATAGATCTTTTTTTTTTCACCGTGATCTCAATGAAAATCTTAGAGACTAACGTTAAAAATGTATGAGGTCTTAGGGCTAAAAACAAATTGGAAAATTATGTTCCCTGAATTGAGGTTTGTTTCTTAATTTGCCTCCAACTAATAGAAAGCTTGATTTCATTCTAACAGTATTCGAACAGTAAGATCAAAAGTTTAGTTTTGCCTCTCGAATTGCTTCAACAGCAGTTCATCAGCTCGGTGTATTACAGTACTTCAGCCCATTGTTTTCTAATTTGAGTACTTGAGGCTGAAAGCAATCGAAAGAGTAAAAAATTGATATTTTTCTCTTTAATTTTGTTTATAGGCAACTCGGATCGAACTTTTCTGAACGTGATTCAATGAAAATTTTGGAGATTCCTGAACTCGTAAGACCGAGACCAAATTTAAAAAAATAGGCTCCAAAATTTGACGTTTGTATTTCAAGGTTCTTCAACAGTTTATCATCAAATGATGAAAAAATTATTGGACGTGATTCTAGAAACATCGTAGAGTCCAATTATCAACTGTTTGAACTCTTGAGGCTGAAAACAAATTGTAAGAGCATGCTTTAAAATTTAATATGTCTCCATTTGTGGAATTCATTCTTAAATCTCAAAGTGGTTTTTAATTTCTTATAGGGAACATCGTGGATGGGGAAAAAGGAGAGTACCATTTGCTCGTAGAAATAAAAGATTCTATTCAAGTGTACACATTGGTTTGGGGATCCAGTTTATATGTAAGTTATATTCATTATGCACTTTTTAGTCTATTCCTGTGTTGAATATTTTGAATCCGACTTAATTTGTTAGTGAAAAAACGTAAAATGGTTTCCGTGTTTACATAGTCTGATGTAAACACGCGGGAGGTTGGGAGAACACGAGATAAGCGTAGGAAACCACGACGCGAAGCGGAGTGGTTTCTAGCTTATCGAGTGTTCTCCCAACCTCCCAAGTGTTTACATCAGGCTATGTAAACACGGAAACCATTTTACATTTCTTTTATAAAATAACTGATGAAAGAGGAACGAAAACCGTGTTTACATACGCTCATGTAAAATGGTTTTATGGCCAATCAGAGCGCGCGTACTATTTGAATTATTTTATAATTGTACTTATTCACCCCAGCACAGAAACTGTAAAGTATTTACTGCCACCTTAATCCAAATCTCGGTGACTCAGTAGCAAATGGCTTTGCTTAACCTTTTCACTCCCATTCCTTGATTGCCAATTCTCCCCTCTAGCTGCTACACATTTCCTTGTAAATTAGTTATGAGAATTTGGTGTGAGATCAAGACAACAATTTTAACCTGATGCTTTTGAGTTTTCTCTTTACCTATTTTCTGAATTATGGATGGATATTATAGGGAGAAGATACATGTTAATCACTTCTGGGAGTTAACACTGGTAGAACAACAAAGAAGAATAGTTTTAAGTTTAATGATTGAAAGATGTTCACTGGGAACGAAGTTATGAAATTTACAGGTTGATTTCATAACTTTTAGCAAAGCCATTCATTAGAGAATAATTACGCCAAATTACTCTGTTAGTAAAATCTGTTCAAATGTGGCGAATTTTCCCGCCAAAATACGCATGCACCAATTTTTAAAAAATTAAGTCCAAATATATCATACTTCGCTAATAAACTATTTATTTGTTTTTTTCTTGATTATTCACATCTACTATTTGAAAGTCAATAAAGTCATCAGTTTTTGTGTCATCTTTTATTGACACTCAATAAACACCAAAAGTTTCATATTCAAAAAAATTCTTTTGTTTTTGTCTGTAAGCTAATTAATTAACTAATTTTAAATTAAATTGATAAAAAGGTGCCAAGAAAAACTTTTCCTGTATATACTTAAGACTTTTGGCGGGAAATTTGGACCAATTTGCACATTTGAATTTCCCTTGGCGACTCTTTTTGGCAAAAATTAACAAGACTTCCCTGAATATTTCCCGCCAAAAAATAATCCGACAGTAACTCGTGCAAAAAGCATTGAAAAGTAATCGCCAATTTCTTTTTCACTCATAATAAAAGTCAAAAACATTCTAAAAAATTCCGTTTCGTTTCTTTCAAAATAATTTCTGACTAAAAAAATTTTTTATACTTAAATTTTTTTGCACAAGACGATGTATGGAAGGTTCCTAATGAAAAAGCAGCGCAGCAAACTATAGAGTATCCAATCAAAATATTAAATTTATCCCCAAATTGTGATCAATTTGTTCAATTTAAAGTTTGTTTTTTAACCAATCATTTTTTATAGGCTTCTAGCCTGCCATGTCTTTTTCGAAGTAAAAGATCTTAAAGCCGCCAGTCTCAAATGTATCACAGGATTCATCGAAATATTTTTACAAGACATTGAACTATGTTTCTGAATTCAAAAGACCAGTCATAATGTTCTCATAGTGTGGGAAATCTTGTTTAAATCAGAAATACACTCTACCTACTTCACTTGGCTTTTTTTAATAACTCACTTTCAAAAAAGTTTGTCAAGTTTGATAGTACCCAGGACCACAAGAGCCGAGTGGTTCACCAGGAGTAACGGATGTAATATAAGATTTCAGTGTGGTACAAATTCTTGCTTCGTTTGTGCAAAACAAAATACTTCGCTTTTTGAATAAAAGTTGCTAAACTTCCATTTTAACACAGTTGATATCGACTGATGAATTTTCAATTGAAACAATTATATGTTTTTGGTCAACGTTTTCACCTGTTATCATTTAGTTGTCAACCTTAAAGTATGATCGCGCGGGTGAAAGTGTTCCCGAAAAGGTTTTTTGTCGGGAACAGTAGAATGGCCTGAGCAGAAGTCAACAGAGCCGTGTGAACAATTGTTTACAAAGTCCAATGTTACAACTTTGGTTTTTGAAAGTGATTTGTCAGTTTTGCAGTAAGGTGATTATCAGACTCAAATGGCCATCGTCCATTGATTAGTCAGTTTTGATCAGTCGGTAAGGTTGGTTTGTTTTCTTTGGTCCGTTGGTGAATAGTTATTATTTTTTTTGCGAGTCGTTTGTAAGATGCCAAGCTGTTGTCATCTTAGTTGTGATGAGTCTTCTCTAAGTTATTAAACTAGCTCTTCAAAGTCATTGTTTGAAGATGGCGTGAGTCGAAGTTACTCAGCAATGTTTTTTTTGACGTAAAGAAAATCAACCTAATTAAAAGATTTCAACTTTGAATTTCATTTGGTCTTTGCCGACGAAGCATTTTTTCAGTGCCACTTTAATATCACCTTTGTTAGACATCAACTAAGATATAACTGAATTCAATACTAGGAATACTATGCATGTGTCCAGTAAATACTCTGACACACGAAAAGATCTAATTTAAGACTGGTATCATTGAAGGGAATAGATCTCTGTAATGAATAGTGAAATATTTGAGGTCTCATTTTGAAATTGCTCGAATAAATGAATAATTGATCGTTATTTTCTTACGATGGGAGGGTAACAAAAGAACACAAAGATGATGATGACGCACTGTAATTTACCGGTGAAGGAAAAAAGGCGTGATATTAGTGCATTAACACTCTCTCATGAAGGGAAAAACAAGTTGAAAATACGCAAAATGAATAAAAAGTGCTGATTCTATCACACAAGGAGAAATAAACTTGGGCTTTGAGTTATTTATTATTAATTAAGTGACCAACCTCACGGTGCAACGAGCTACAGTAGTCGTAAGAGTAGGTAAACTGAATTTTGAATGTTGTGGCATATTTGTCGGCGAAACATGACTAAACGAAAGTGACCACCATATTTGAAAACCGTTAAAACAAATAAAAATTATTTCTATATTGTAACGTATAAGAAAAAGAAAATCTGTTCAATTGTAGTAAATTTCACTTCACTAGGAAAACGTAGTTGTTATCCTATCCTGAAAGTTTTAATGTATGCGGAAGACATTCATTACTTGCTCCAATTACCGATTTTTTTTCACAAGTTTGAGCTGTGATAGACGGAATTTGTCAGTTTATTCAAGCGTTAAGCACTGTAAACATTTGGCCTCCCCCGCCCCTTCCCTCACTTCCCACAAAGAAAAAGTTGAAAGTAGTGTAAATAAGGAGTTTATTAATCACGGAAGGATCCTTTTACAAATTACACGAAACAAAACGTTTCAGCTTTTTTACGCGTCGTAATTCGTCTGATAAAATTGGACGATAGCTTTTGCGAAAGCATTTTTCAAAGCATCATCACCATTCCACTTGTCACGAACCCCTATCGGCAGTTCCAGCTGAATGGCGTCAATTTTCCCTCCATATCTTGATCCGTAGCGCCTGGTCGTATATCCGCCAGAGAAAAATTTTTCCCCCTCTGGGTCCTCGTCAAGTGGTGAGGGTACAGCATCCAGTCCTTCTTGATTCATAAAATATCCAAGACCTCGATTTCCTTGGACGAAATCTTGAAAGCAAGTGTTGTTGCCTTTACACCAGTATTCCCCAAGGCTTCTGATGGAAGTGTACTTCATGTTGTAGGATTTGCGCACGAGCCGGAGTTTGGAAATGAGATATCCCAGCTCCGTCCTCTCAGGTTGATGTGTTTGGCCGTGGATGTCTAAGAGAAAGCCACGCCCTGGAATGGCCAATTTTGCTTGGCTGATAAAATTGGTGTAGTCGTTATAGGCTGTAATTGCGTCTGGGATATTCAAAGTTGCTTCATTGATTTCTCTGTTGGCATCCAGTTTTGATCTCCTCAGCAAGTTGTACACAACATGTGGCCGAGTACCTATTGAAACGATTCGCAAACAGTCACTAAGAAATGAACGTTTATAAGGAAAGGAAATTGAATAAATATTTCTTGTGGCTTGAGTCACGGATTCTTCGTATAATTTTTTCTTTATATAGATAGAATGGACCAAAAGAACTTCTTCTCTTAAGTGCATGTAAAGATGGTTTTAAAAAATTCTGTGCTCGAGTCAAAAAACCCATCCAGTCGCAGCTTATCGACTTAGAATCCAGCACACTGACCGCAAAGCCACCGCGCCTCCCACAGTCAAATCGACAAATGTTTAACAACAAAAATTAATGAAAAAAAGTATGGAAAAACATAAGATCGCCAATAAAGTACGCAAAAAGGCTGTTTTAACAGCCTCAGACGTTGTTAAAACGTTTGGTCGTTTGTTCTGCTGTAAAACGAATCAACTTGACCACTAAGTACAAAAACTGACTGCATGTTTTGCCTCCAGTGTGACATGCAGCACCGTGAGCACAAGACCGCCTTTTTCTGTCATCGGTTATTTATTCATTAAATCTCTAAACCAGAGTAGCATCAAGCCATGTTTGATTGTCCACCTGGTTGCCATATGAATTTTGATAAAATTTTCCATGAGTTTACCAGTACAATAAACGATGGGTGTTTGATCAATCGGGATTATTCCGTTTAACTAAAAGCGCAGAACAAATTTTGACTTTCTTCCACCTGTAATGTCTCTGATTGTATCTGCAAGGTCTCCAGCGATCTCACCACTGGTGTGTACGAACCTCTGAATGCTTTAGTGGCACACTCTGTAGTGGTGGGAGAGCATGAGTGTGTATAGCTACATTTTCAAGGGGTAGAGGCACCCGTAATAAGATGTTGTTTCTTTTTCTAATGCATAATAAATGCATCTGAGCACTGAACGATTGTAACCACCATCTAATACGCGCAGAAGACGTTACCCTGATACTCACACATTCCATCTTAGAAAAAAGTGCATCATTTCATTTGAATTATTATTTAATATCTGTCCATTACCTGTAATTTCCTTGATTTTGTCTGCAAGATCTTGAGCAATTTCTTTGGTGTTTCTATCTCTCAATGTTCTGGCGGGGCAATCTTTATTAGCTGAAGAGCATGAGTGAGTATAGATACAGTTCTCGAATTCATCTTTACAGCCATTCTTCCTATCTGGCCAGTCGTCACCATTAGCCTGACTTAAGGGAGTCAGCCTCCCCCCGTGAGAAGCGGTTATGATGATATTCATGTCACCAGGTTCATATTTGGTATAACTGTGGGAACCGAACCTCGTTTGTCCAAGGACACTAGGTACAAAGATGCCACAGAAGAGCAAGTGATACACGTTCATAATCTGCAAGATATTTAAACAAAGTTCATCACGTACCAGTTAAACCATTTTTTATCGTTTCAATCGTCTAAAGAACCCTACAGAGTATATATCATTGAGATGAAACGTGTCATGATTTTCAGGCGGGCCCGAATTGTTTGTAAAAGCTTGTACAGCCAAAAGGTCCCTATAACGGAAAACCTATATCGATCAAAAACCTGAGTTTACATCATTTGCGATTTCAATGCTCTTTACAGCTTCGAACTTGAACTACAGCGGACTAACACTTAAATCTCAGTCAAATTATTAAAGGGGGGCTTTTAAAACTCAGAAGACGCTGAGATATTTAAGGTTGAAGTTCATTACATGCAAACAAAAATTGTACAAGAAAAGTAAGCTAGGGTATTGCTTACGATACTGTTACTCCATTGCAACTCACTTTGACTTCCTGTCGATGCTCTGCAATCGATTGGCTGACTGACCACCTCTTAACTGATCGGGACGGAATTCAACCGAGCCAGAATGGTCAACGAAATGATTAGAAGCATATTTATAGTCTTTTGGTAAACGGTATCCTCGATGCTTCGTGACTTATTTAACTTGTATTTCCTGACAACTAGTACCGAATTTAAGAGGCATCAAGGGCCACAAGTGGTTCATCAAAAGATTAATTTGCATTTTTTTATAGTATTGGAAATCATTTCGTAGTTAAGTGTATTCTGCAGGCGTCACTTAGTTTTTTTCCTAGCAACCACATACGAATTAAGCAGCATCCAGGAAAAACAGTAGTTCATGAAGAGAAGTATTTACATTTTTCCTTAGTATCGGGATCTTTTGCTTATTACTCATAAGTTCGCTCTGCATGCGTCATTTCGTTTTTTCCTGACAAATACAAAGGAATTGAACAGTATCTAGGACGACCAGTAATTAATGATTTACCTTTGTCCTCGGTATCGGAAATTTGGTTTTAGTACTAAATGCACTCTTAGTGCTTCGATTGTTTTTCCTTTTCTAACAACATACAGTTTTAGTTTATTAGTTTGCTACAAATATACAACATGAATAATTCTCTTGCACAATATCAGCAAGGCAAGGTATCCCAAGGAACCCAAAAAGGGCTGATTTGAAGGTCTATCTTTACAAAACACTACGATACAATACTGGGAACGTTTTTATTTACATCCAAGTCAATAAGAAATTCAATAAAAGACAAATTTACAGTCCTCCATAGTTCATGCGAATATTTTTTCATGGCATGCTTCATTAGCTTTTGTTTCGTTTTGCTTTTATTCTGAACTTGAACTGCAAACGATCATAGCAAGATTGACGGGGTTGACAATCAGTTCATCAAAATAAAAGACCAGTCATAATGTTCTCATAGTATGCGAAATCTTGTCTAAATCAGAAATGCACTCTGCCTACTTCGCTTGGCTTTTTTTGATAACTCACTTTCAACAAGTTTGTCAAGTTTGATAGTACCCGGGACCGCAAGAGCCCAGTGGTTCGTCAAGAGACACATTAACATTTTTGCATAGCGTCGGAAATGTTTGTAGTACGTAATCATAAATGCACTTTGCATGCCTCATTTAATTCTTCCTGAAAAACACAATCGACTTTGATAGGATCCATGACATCAAGGAACTCATTTAAAGATCAATGTACATTTTCCCATAGAATCTTCGCATCGCCTTTTGACCACTGATTAATGCACTCTGCTTGCTCCACATAGTTTTGAAAAGTTGCATGGTGCGCTGAGGCACTATTATTGTTATTGTGAATTTTTAAGAGTCTACAGCACTTAACTCGTGAAAGGTTTTCAGCGATAGTCAAAAAACAATTCAGAAGCAGCAACAAGTAATTGATGAAAAAGAAATGATGTTTCGATGAAAACGAACCATCCCAGCCGTCATTACAGTCTTCCATTAAGATCATCAACAATCCTAACTAGATTTTCTTAATTTTCGTGACCTCACGTTTCTTTCACAGTGCTGTGGTCCAAAACGAACAAGTTCCTGTTGTTACGGTTCCTCTCTTTTGTGCCATCAAAGGCGTCCCAAGCTCATGTCTCGAGAAAAAGCAAACGAAAGAAAGCGTCACGTGTAGTGTACTTGATGTTAAGTTACGAGAGGAACCGTTGAACACGTTATAAGGAATAGTACGGAAAACGAAAAACGAAGAAAGGCATCTCGCCGAAACCACCAAAAATACAAACCGCAAATGGAACAGCGATCTGCTGGGGGCATGACGTCATCAAATGTGAAGACTGACACGAAACCATTACATGGCGTAGTCGCTGTATGTAATAGTCTTCACTTCGCTTTGCCGTAAAACAGAGCCAATTCGGTAAATTTCTCCTCTTTTTTCACTGCTGATATTGCATTTATTTGTTGTCGTTCATGATAGTGTTAATTAAAAGAGCAAGACTGGATTCTACCACGGTTTTACCTCCCGGTTTACCACAGTTTGACCAATCAGAAACAAAACCAAAACCGATCGCAATTTGGTCGCACGCGTTTTCCCGCGCTTCAAGGAGCTAACCCTTTCTTCCTTTGAGTTCTGTTGGCCATTCTGAGCCCTTTGGCTCTGGTTGACACCCAGTGCAATTCGCTCAAACGAATTCTAATTTCGTTTTTCGCCTGTCACCCCCTGGGTTTAAAATAAAAATTTATAACCCTCTTTCAAGAAAACAAACTACTTTTAAAAAGTTAAGCCGAATGCAGCACAGGTGTCCCAAGCTCACGTTTCGAGAAAAAGCGAATGATCGATTCATGAAAGCCTCACGCGTTGTGTGACTTGGTGTTAAGCTACGAGAGGAACCGTTGAGAATTTGGAGACGTTATAAGGAATAGTATGGGGAACGAAATACGCCGGTCGATTTTCAACGACAAATATTTCGAGAAATGAACATTTTGCACGTAAAATCATTAGAACTTACTCACATCTTGTGTTTCCGTTGTGGTTTCCGGTGTTCTATTACGTACCAACCTGAAGAATTTTTCCACATTCACATTACATCGGTCACGTAATATTTTAAAATTTTCAGCCCGTTGCTAAGTGCTTTTTGACTTCTTCTTTTAATTTTGATGGAACTTTTCCGACGTTTAAACCGCTCGAAACCGAATTCGTTTTAACGCTCCGAATTGCCGGTACCAAGAAATGTTCCTCTCTATCGTGAAATTATCATTCCGTAGTAGTAAAGCGCTACAAATTATTTGCCTGTTGACATATGCCTTCTCTTGAACCCCTTAACTTCCAGAAGTGATATATTAGCGAGCAAGCAGATAATGAGAATACTCAAACTTAGACATGTAGAAGTTGTTATCTTGATCTATTACTAAATTCTCGTAACTAATTCTGAAGGGAATGATTTGAAGCTAGAAGGGAGAATTAACAATCAGATCTTGGGAGTTAAAGGGTTAAAGACAAGTCGGTAATACGCAATACAAGTTTTTCAACTTTTATCAACTTTTCAATAAGATTTTAAGTTCAATACTTCTCAGTGAGTCTCTGTGCAAAATGACTTTTTCATTAGCCCTTTGAGGTACGTTCGTGAGCATAAAAACATAAATGAACTATTGTTTAAGAGTTCCTGTTTTCGCTTCAGTTGTTCCATACTTTAAAGTTTTAATAAAATTATTAATTGGCCAACCGCACCGCAGTAATGAGTTGGTAGACTCTTCAGAGCTATCAGATTATACAATTTAAGAGAGGTTGTCACTAATTTTCAAGAATCCGGCTACAGAAGCAAAACTTCGACTTTTTTTTATTTGCTCCAAAAGACACTTTTGGTGAACTGTTTTCAAAAATAATATTCAAAAGTTCCAGCGAGTTTTTATTTTGGCAAAAGAGTTCGAAATCGGCCAAAACGTACTAATTTGCATAATTTCTATCGGGCTTTCAGTGCATTTTCACAACGCTCGTACAAGACAACGAAAAATTATCTTGGATTCATTTTTTCATAAGTTGTTTTTCATCCCTTGGAGTAGCTTTGCAACTATATTTCATCTCCAACTGAACTTTCTTTCGTTTGTAACCACCCGCGTAAAGTACATTATATTTTCTATTCCGTTTGTACGCTGAATTTTGCCATATTTCAGACGACCATAACATCGAGGGTATACGAATGTACATAAAATAAAAGAGCTCTTTTCAACGAGAAATTATTCGTGTTTATCATGTAAAAATATTATATTTGGCCTGTGAAAAGCGAGCGCGCCTGACCAAAATATGTAGCGTGCATTTTCACGGAGTTCGGCCGTTTTCTTGCTGTACTCCTACTGCAAATCGCACGCTATTGGGACAAAACTCGACGTGTTTGGTCTCTACTTCTGTTTTGATTTATTTAAATATATCAATTTTAACTTAAACACTACCCTACTTTATTGTTAAGTGAACAAACCTCCGCTGTTTACAAAGATGCCAGCTCTGTCGACGTGTTTTTAGCTGAAATTGGCCTGTCGCTTATATTGTTCTTTAATTTACAATCTATCCCACTGGCGTAACTTTATAGTAAATTACATGTAACTATAAATGTTGTTGTAAATACGTGAGCGTGAGCTTAATAAAATCTTCGCACACATAAAATATTCGAAACTCGCTTGTGCATGAACCTCGTGTATACATTCGGTGTTTTGCTCGGTTGCCTTTAATAGATTTCTACCACTGTAATTAAAATAGCATGTTTGTGTAGTCCACCTGTTTAGATACATTTTCAAATCAACTCTGGGTTGGAATTCTGTTTGTAAAAATTGTCGAAGAAATCCGAGAAATAATGCAACATATTCCTTCTCTGACACTTTCATTATTTCTCGGATTTCTTCGACAAGTTTTACAAACAGAATTCCAACTTAGAGTTGATTGCATTAAGTATGCATTAGAGCAAGAACCAAGATCTTATTACTGGTACCCCTACACTACAGGCGTACGATCTGGCAAGCAAGTGCACAATCTACCCATCGTGTGTTGAATTCGAAGCCAGTTTACTGGATTTGTAAGATTTACGAAAGTCAAGAACGGATAACCCAGTATTTCAATCGCACAGATAGATTTATCTACTCCGCTCTCCAACATTTTGCGATCTCCCCAATTCAATAATTCTGGTGGATCACAAAGTTGAGTATTCGCCCAGAAGAAAACACACTTGCTCTGCACCGACACTGTTCGGGTCAGTTTCTTGGGGAGGCCTTTTTTTGCGGTGCTTTCTTGCATTACTGTAATTTCCATATCATGCCTTGCTTGATTGTTTTATCGTTCAGTTGATCTTCTCAGTGGACAATCTAACAATTGAAGTTTTATTAGTTTGAGTTACAATACTGAGTTCCGAGATGTTTGTAAATTGTTTTCACAATAGGTAATCGAACACATGTTGTGTACAACTTGTTGAAGAGAACAAAACTGGATGCCAACAGAGAAATCAATGAAGCAACTTTAAATATCCCAGACGCCATTACACTCATCTGCAAAGCAAATTTGGCCATTTCAGGGCGTGGTTTACTCTTGGATATCCACGGCCAAGTACACACACCTCAAAGGACAGAGCTAGGCTATCACATTTCCAAATTCCAGCTCGTAGACAGATCCTACAAAATAGCGAGTACCTCTATAAGAAGCCTTGAGGGATACTGGTGCGAAAGCAACTACGTTTGCCTTCAAGATGTTGTACAAGGCAATCGAAGTCTAGGCCACTTCACTAATCACGGAGGCCTGGCTGCTGTTCCCTCTCCGCTAGACGAGAGAGATGGAGGAGAAATCGACGCAATTCAGCTGGAATTTCCTAAGGAGTTCCGCTCTGCGTGGAGTTCTGAGCCGGATGCACAACACAACATGGCTAATGCTATTGTCGAACTTTTTCAGCTAAATTATGAAATGTAACAAACTTTTTTTGTTACTACTTTTTTTATCTTTGTTTTTGCTTTAAAAAAGGCGAAGTAGGAGGACAGTTTGCAATTCTCAACATTAGGAAATTTCAAAACTGTAAATACCATGATAGACGCAACATGTAGATCAACTGCATACATTAGTATCCCAGGCAACCATAATTTAGGGATTTGCGTGTGCTCAAGCTCAAACGCTTGTCCACCATGGATTCACTGCGAGGCCTTAGTACAAAGAGAGGATGTGAATCATTCTTTAATATTTAAAACAAGCACATGAAACGCTTTTTAAAGTTTTACTTTCCTTTTTCTTTTAAAAAAGAATCGGGTCACTTTAGTTTAGCTGCAAGTATTTTGCGCCTTGTTACTGCAGTAATCAGCCCCAAACTTAACACTTTAAGGCCGTAGATACAAACTGTCAGTGTCGATGCGTAAACTGAACAAATTGTAAGTAAGTGTTTGAAATCAGCATGGCTGGTCGTCTAGGAACTGAATTTTCGGAATAAATAAAAGTATGTCGACCCGTAAGGCGCAAGCTTCCTTATCGCCAACCTTCGTGCTGTTCTTGCATCCGTCTATCAAAACTTCCCGTGCTTAACCACAAATAGAAACGCTATTAAAGAGACTATCTAGTTTGTACTATTTTCTCTCGTCGTGAGAGTGGGTAACGCATGCATGAACTGCAGTGAGTCGTGCATTGTTTCGAATTGTTGTCTCTGACTGTTTCTGCGGAATGATGTGCTGACAGCAACAGAAACTCTATCGTACCACTTATCTTTGTAGGCAGTTAAATGAAGTCATGGAGAGAGCTGTCAATGACTTAGCAATTGACTGAATATGAAGATACATAACGTGCAATTGAAAGGGACTGAGATACATACAGGTTACAGTAAAGTTCCACACACGAACAAATATTACTGATTTTTTCACACCAACGCCTTTGCATGATTATGGCATTTTTTTTAAAGATAGTGACGTCTTCTAAAGATCACCTTAAATTTTACCTACATTGTTATCAGCTCCATATAAACATGATAAATAAAACAATAATAATGTCAAAATTATTGCTCTATAAATATTTACAATTTTTTTTACAAAGGTTTCTTAAATACTTCTGCTTCTTCTAAAGACAATAACGTCCCAAACACAAAGTGTTGGATAACAGGAAACTTTGATAGGACCTGTCAAAATATAATGAGGCCAAATGAAAAAAAAGAAATCTCATAAATAATAATAATAATAATAATAATAATAATAATAATAATTGTTTCACTTTTGAAATTCAACATTATAATTTTCATCATTGTTCAACAAGTTTGAACTTTGAATCTTGCAACTAACAGTTATTTCTTATTTATTATTGCTAATGAAAAAAACAAGAGATGAAGAACACAAAAGGCTCACAGAGCCATAACAAAGAACAACCTTAGGATATTGCTGCTAATACCCTTCCAGGAATCAGTTTTCAACTCTTAGTTACCTGGGGTGCTTTCTCCTTGACACACAAAAAAGTGTAACTAGGAAGAGATAGTTAAATGACAGTCCACATACCTCAGCTTTGTACATTTTTATCAGGCCAGAATTTACTTTGTCCCATATTTTAACAGAACTGATACCCCATAAAACATTAGAATGTTCTGCAAAAGGTCCACTTTTCATCTGGTTTGTTGAGAAAGAAACAAAAGGAAAAGGAAAAGGAAAACAAATGGACATTTTCAAACCGCTTTCCAGTATGGTCTTACTCTGGGGGCTACATTAGATTTTACATGCCAGGAAAAAAAGCAGGCTTGAGGTTGACATTTAAAGTAAAGTAAGTTTGGTAAGATTTAATTTGTCTAGTCACGTGTGATTTCAATAATTGATGGGAAGTGATGGAGAAAATAAGAAAAAACTGTATAGATTTAGGAGATGGTGCATGAAATACACATAGTACATACAAGCTTGTCTTTCACTTAATATATCTTGTAAAAACTGGTGTTTTTCATTCTGTTCTTGTTTATTTTAGCAAATTTTATCTAAGCTCCAGTATGGCCCAATATACATGACCTTACTATTTCAAATCCAAACTCCATTGTAAAGAATGCAAAGGAAATTCAACAAAAAAACAGAATGGTTCACTACTTGAACAAGACTGATAACCAGAGTTAAAACTGACATACTGGTATGAAACCTGTAACAGAAATGATAATAGAGACTTTCTCACCTCATTTATAAACTTGATGCAGCCAAAGAACATGTAATCAAGGTGATGACTTTCCACAACAGAAGATTTAACAAAGTCCTTTGGTTCTAAACTTGGATGATCTACAGGAGAAATTGTTTCAGAAATATCAGCAGCACTCCACAACCATGACAGCTTATTTTATTGCCCAATGTCATTTGTAAGGAGGAACTACATAAATGTATATGCACCTATCTTACAAATCCTCTACTGGCTTCTCAGGCCATTCTATTCAAAGACAAGTAAAGAGTTCCACTATTAACTGAACTGTCTGGCTAAATCAGTGAATGCCTTGATTTCCTTAATTCCTTGTAACAATTTGCTGTTTTGATGGAGAATTTTAATAAATAAGGCAGAACTCTGAAAAAATGCCTAATTGAATAGTCCAGTGGCATGTTCTGTAATGGAGATTTCAAGGATTAGATGTTCTAGAGGTTAAACTTCCTGTCACATATCCTGTACATGTAGCAGACATCATATGTTTCCAATGTGAACACACGAGTGAAGGAAATGTTTTCATGTGTTTATCTTATTGCACAATGTCCAGATTTTCAAATATAAACAATTCAAAAATAAGAGCTTCTTTACTGATCTAAGTTGGTATACATGGAAAAAATGTGCCCTTGGTCTTGAGTACAGTTATTTCCTAAACAAACCTCCTGCCCAGTAAATAGCATATATTTATTTGTGGTCTTGTTTTTTCAATTTTTTATTTTACACAATAAAAAATATAATAATCATAGATAAATATAAAGGAAAATGTGATTTGAACCACAGAAAAAAAAGAAAGATCCTCAAATATAATATATCAATGATACAAACCAATCAACTGAGAGCTCCCCCAAATAAATGGAACAAACTGGAAATCATCTAGTCCCCAGACACCTTGGCTGCCTGCTGGTTCCATTCTGTATGTTGACTGAAGCCTTCTCATCAGTTCTAAATACCTGGAAGGTGAAAAGAGAATCATTATTAAGCTAAATTAATTCTAACAATGTTTCCTTCAAAAGTTTTCCTTTGCAGTGTAGATTAAAAAATATGGAATTATTTAAAGTGTCTTGTCTTCTTGTCTACACAACAAAACAGAAATCCATGGATATCTAAGATCAAGAAGCACAACAACCAGTAAGGCATAGGATAGCTGAGATGTCTTCAAAAAGCATCTACATGTATCACAGTTACTGAATATCAGCCAGTCACAGTAAAGTACAATATTTCACAAGGTTATAAGTGTCCATTCAACCTAACTGCCTATATACTAACAGTTCACAAACAAATCAGTAAAATCAACATCAAAAGTGACTACATCAAGACACATCTTTGGGTAATACTAATAGTGTATTCACTACAATGAATAACCACGACCTTTTCACCAAACTACCATTTTTCAAAGAATCTGCCCACCTTTCAAATACTGTATGTCCATTTGTCACTTGACAAAGTATAAAGTTACCTTTGAAACACCCTGAACACTATTGAAGCACAGTCACTTTGATCCAGCACTCTGAGTTTGAACAGACAGCATAGAAATGCAATAAAACAAGCCTCATGACCTGTGGGAAAAGATTAATATCAATTTTTAAGCTTCTAATTTTCCTCAATTTTCATCAGACAAATCCACACCAACTAATAACATATACACACCTGTTCCATAGTCTATTCTTGTTTTATTTCCAAAACCATCTACAAAGCAATGCAGAATATCAACAGAGATTCACCTCAATACTGTGGTTCTTCCATGTATACCATTTAAAGCAAGAAAAAAAAGTTGGGCAAAACACTTTTCCTTTGTAATGATAACACAGTGAAATAACCCACATTATTCATTTAATAATGTAAGAGTAAATATGGATTAGGCTTATTAAACCCTTTACACCCCAACATCAGTATTCATTTTCTCCATGCTGTTTTCTACACTTTGTACATTTTTTAAGGTGCTGACAAGGAGAATTTGTTTAACAATCAAGAATAATCAATCAATTAGTTGGTGATCATTTCCTATATTCTCATGACTTTGACATGTGATCCATAGGTGATATTGTAGGGAGAAATTAGAAGCTAGTCCCTCTGAGGGATCTAGGGATTAATAAGGGTAAAAACACATCACAGTCACAGACTGGTAAACTTGATACCCCCTATACAACCAAGACAGCCTTTATGCAATACTATATAGCATTTGGATGAATAAACCTAGAGAACAAACTTCCCTCAGTATAGGGTGTAGATCAATGGTAAGGGAGAATTATAAAGGCAAACCAAATTTTCAAAAGCAAACCTTTGAGATATGCGGCAAGTTCTATGCTGGCCCCTGTAAATTTTTCTGGAAGAAGTCCTTGGATCATTACATCAGCATTCTGTTCAAAATCATTCATTCAATAAATCAATCAATCTATTGATTGATTTTTCAATTAACCAATCAACGAATCAATTAATCAACTAATTGACTTATCAATTATTTAATCAGTCAATCTATCAGACAATCAACTGATCAATCGATCAGTTAATCATTCAATCTAACAATTAATCAATCAATCATTCAATCAGCCAATTGACTAATCAATCTATCAATTAATCAATCAAGCAAGTAATTGGTCATACAAGCAATCAATCACTTAATCAAGCAAGCACTCAATCAATAAATCAATCATCTTATTACTCAGGATCTCAGTCAACAAAAAAAATTCAAACCATTTCCAGGAACAGACATTCAGTGGATCAGTAAATTGTTAAATATTTTATGATATGCAAATGTAGGGTGGCAGGGTGGAGGTCTTGATCCTGTTTCACACACTAAGTTTAAAAAAAATACACCTGTCACTTGGATAAAAGGGAAAGCTTCAAATCTCTCCTTTTGCATACACAGTATCAAGGAAATCTTGTGGTTTTTAAAAAAAGAAAGGAAACATACTCAGGTCAGGTATAATTTAGGCTGCAAATCACACTTCACGCTGGCTCACAAATTCACACATCTTGCTTGCTTTTCTGCAAAATTCATGTGTCACTTAGCAATTTTGGCTTTAATCAGGCATTGCATATAAACCTTTACCACCCTTCAAGTACATAAGAGAAACACAAATATAACTTAGAGAGTCTTGACTTTCCCTGGGAACCTCAAAACTGATCTTTAGATGGTTCTTGGACAGAAATATGTAAAAGTTAATTTACTCTTACCTCTTCAAGTCTACTGCACCATGTTCTGAAGGCTTTGTTTCCAAATCGTTGTGGCTGGTCAATAGGTGGGGTTTCATCAATCCAAGTGTCCATGGTTTCAAGCATAGTGATCAGTTTCGTTAAAGCCTTTAATCAAATGAATAAAGCTAAGATTCCAGAGAAATCTCTTTTAATCAATACTTTGAATATAAACAAAATTATAGTAACTGTCTTATAATCATTTTTTAATCCACCAAACTGTGTCATCTTTGTTACTGCTCTCTAACAAAATATGCCTAAATTGAGTGCAAAAAGTAAGCTTCAGCTAATAGTATTTGAAAGAAGGTTTTAGCCACCACTTTCAACGATACTGAGGTGAATGATTGTTAAACTATATACCATACAGATAATAAAAAATTAGTTTATTTTTCCAGTATACCAAAAAATAGTTGGAAATTTAACTCTTGACACTGGATTTTGTCTCTTTGGCTGCTTAGAGATAAATGGTACTTGCAATTAGAATTATTTTAGTATTTTAGTATTTTACCTCTGATGTTGAACAGTCGACCGACATTTTTTTCCCTTTAACAGCATCATTCAAAGTGAGGATAAATCCAAGGTAATCACTGTATGCCTGTTTGCACAAACATAAGCATATTTGAAATCCAAAAATATGAAGAACAGATTAAATAAAAATCAGCTTCATGACGAGCACCTTGAGGCTAAGACACATAAAGTAGCCACGTGCGGGCAAAGTGTAGGAGGAACCGAAAAAAAGGTAGCAACGCTCCACTCGTTTGTCACTCCCATGGCAATTTCTAACAAAGGCTTGTGCATATCGAGAAGCCTTCCTGTTAGAGTATCATGCATTTTGGTAGCGGGAAATCTGTAGGTACGAACAGCTGTTGAGCAAACGGGGCTTGCGAAGCGAAAGATCTTTTCCTCACCTGTGACTTTTCCCACTTTACGACATCATTACGATTCAAAATTTCTCGTTTTGGCTCTGCGAAGACTGCCGCTGAAATAAAGGAGAGTTCGTAATGTGTTGAAAATACAGGTGACGTGACTCTAAATAGGTCATTTCGCCGTACAAAAGCGAGTTGTATTCACCTTGTTCCAAGTTCGCCATATTGGAATGTTAACTCTCCCCAGTTCCCGGGTTTGTTTTTCTTGTTTGGATCGTTGATCTATGACGAATGTCTGTCACAATTCAGGTGAAGCAGGTTATTTACAAGAATTCCATGCGCATAGGAAGTGCAATTTTATGGGACAAATGTAGGGTTAAAAAAAAATTATAATAATAACAAAACCACGAAGACACAATGAAACGGGGTCGAACAGGATGCGATTCAGAACGCACGCCCTACTCTTAGGCCCCTGTTTTGGCGCTCTTATGAGCGGCCGTCACCACCAAAAAATACAAGGATGTCAAATAGATCAGCAAATAAAAAGCTGGTCTAAGGATCAGCTGCAGGATAGCATAGCTAATAAAGGAATGGCATAGCCAAATTATAGACGGTTTAGTTTCCCCTTCGTTTTTCCGCGTGCATTTTTGCGAGTTTCAAAAGTAGTGTTTGCCAAAGCGATATGTTTTCCGAGTTGGTTTAGCGCGCATACATACCGGCACATTCCGATATCACTTTGATTGAAAGCTGACCTCCATTGCACATGCCCTCACGCATGTGTTCTGCGTGAGGTAGTTATTCGTTCAGTATGTGGAGCCTGGGCCAAAGCGATTAGAGATCGGAGGCTAAACATCTCACGACGTGTAACCATACTTCCTCTTTCCCCCACCCCAACCCCGAAATTACACGTCTGTTTGTTTACAGGTGAAAAATATAATGGTCATGACCCTCCATCAATAAAACTTAGAAAAGGAGAGAAACCATCCACCAGGATATTCTTTAAAATTGTTAGACAAAAACAGCAGAATTGAAATTCCTAAAGAACAAGATGGTTATAAAAAGCTGGTCAGTAACAAAGCAGACCTGAGGGAATATGTTAAAAGGAAAACCTGGTTTATTCCCTATATACTCGTGCCCTAGGCTTTGACATCATGAAAAATATTTTACCTCGTACTATTCACATTGTTCACCCGATCAGAACTCTCTCTGGCAGTGAGCTGTTCTTCCCACCCCCATAGATTTGAATGTAGTCCGACTCTTAAACTTATACACTTTAAAATCGAAGTAACACTTGGACAACAGGGAAAGAGGGGTAGAAGATAGGGTTTTAGGGATACAATTCGAATTCCACTCCATGACACTGCAGTCTCAATTGCAGTCTCAATGGCAAAGAGAAGACTGATTTGTCGCGGATTGTAGGTTCAGCTTGTATTCTGCTCTGAGCGACAAGAAAAGCTGTCGTCCATCGTGACGGTATCCGCGGGTTTCGCCCATAACGAGTTTCGCCCAAGAAGCGTTTCGCCCATAACGAGAATGGTTTCGCCCAGGCATAAATTCGATTCGATTAAGCTTTTCAAATTCTATTGATAAGGTTTGATTGAGATTTTTTGTGCAAGACGGTAATTTCCTTTAAGTTAAAGCTTTCGTACCGCACGCTTCGTCGGAGTAGTAAAGCTATTCCACGCGCGCGCACTCATGAACTTGACTAGTTTCTATCTCTTTTCCAATTATATGTTGCCGTTACCTATGTCAGAAATACAATCTTTGACTCTCGATTCCTTTGTTTTAGTATTCACGAAACCGTATTCACATGTATTCATAAGCTGGCGTGCGGAACTTATCTTCCGTGTACAAAAGATTTGCAACGATGATATGTTCCACGCGCAAGTGTTTTCAAAAGCGTTTAATTTAATTCTCGAGAAGAAAAGTGATGCAAAAAAATCATAGCAATGCTTTTACGACAAACGGAAGTCTCTGTAGTATTTCGTGCGCGAATTACCTTAACAATCCCCGCTCCACAGTGAAAGCTATAATTGACTTGTTCGTTTCAACAGTAACTTGTTCGTTTCAAAATTTCATGATCTCAGGTCAAGTCACTTTTCTTCATTCTGTGCATACAAACGTTTATAAGGTTGACGTTTTCCGAGTGAGAGTGTAGAAGTTTTACTTATGGGCGAAACCTTTATTGTTCTAGGCGAAACCATTCTCGTTCTGGGCGAAACGATATGTGCGAAACTCGTTATGGGCGAAACCCGCTATAACCATCGTGACCTATAGAGTATCTATCGAAGGCCCAAGTCTCGCGAGTAAGATTTCATCGCTGCCAGTTTCCGGGAGCAGTTTACACGAATATCACAAGATAGTGATATTTGTAACAAGTTCTTGTGTTTAGTGAGCGTTTGCCTGTGTTTAATCATTGAAGTTTCTACTTCTGTGAAGTTGGCGGATGTAAATGGATGCCAACTTGATCCATTGAATTAATTGTTCCAGTTTGCGTTTGCTTTCAGGAGACAGAGACCGGGGCCAGGAGGGGCGAGCCGGATTAAAGGAAAGAAAGTTGGAAGCTGCATAGGACCGTGCCAATTGCCAAAACAATTAAGAAAAACCCTTCTAATAATCTTAGCCTGTAAAAGCACCGAAGCAAGAAAAAGGTAAGAAAGCCACTTGTAGCTATACCATGAATAATCATATACGTGAAAAAATTAAGCGCACCTGATTGGCTGAAAACGAGTGCAATTTTCATGTAACACTAGTGCAAACTTGCAACACAGGTGTAACAAAAAAGAAAGGCGCACGTGCTGTCAAAATTCCGTCTGTCTTGACTTTCTGTGAAGCTTTTTTCATGTAATTTTCTCAAAGACTACAAATTGCACGAGCCCGTAGTGCTTATTTACACTAAATTGCGATCGAAATCATGTTACTACCTGGACAAATAAAAATGCAAATTATTTTCGAGTTTTAAGGTTACCACGATTAACCGTGGACGATGAACAAAGTTTTCGTTGCAATTTGTCTTTTTTAGTTTTCTTTTTATCTGGAGATATCCTCGCTTTACGCTCATTTAAATTAATTTCATTGTGAGAAAAAAATTAGCGCTACTATAGCGATAAAACTACTATTTCAAACTCCAATATTTTAAAAATTGTTTTTAATCAAATGTAATCTTTAATCATCCATGCGCACAAAGTTTTATTACCTATACTTATAACATGTACCAACATACACATTTTACGTTTCTACATTTTTTTGCAATGCTCGCTTATAGTGGGAACTAACGTTTCTATGCTAATATTAAGCTACAGAAGTTGAAAAAATATGACTATAGTCATTATCAGATTGAATCGCATAATAATCAATAAAGCAAGCCAACTCGTGCTATTGAAAACTAAAATTTAAGAAGTATAAAGCCAAAATTATTCTAAATGTCTAAACGTAGACGAAGCAATTGAAAGAAGATGCCACAATAGTTGTTTCATAAAATAACCAATCTCCCTCTTCGGATACTTTTATGTTATTTCAGCCGCTAAGTTGTTTCATTTCATTTTTCATGCTCAAATCTAAAAGTGAACTTCAAATATTACTGGAGGAAAGTTCCATTTAAGAGAAAAAGTGACGTTAAGTCTGGGGACGTTGAACAAAGAGGAAAAAAAATCTGGGACAAAACACATAGCAGCAGTTTTACGCTGAAGCAGCATCCCTCTTGTCCAGATAGCTGTCCCACAGTTCAAGAGAAGTTCCCCATGCGTTGATCACGTACTTCAGCTTCACATCAGTTGGTAGTTCGTCCAGTCCAGTAACTGGCTCATGTCCCTTATTGTCAAGATGCCATTCGATAAAGTCTTTCAAGCTAAAGGAAGGGATAAACGGCTGTAATGTATCACAATACTGGAAAGTACTCGACCGAACTATATTCCTTCCCACTTAATGACCCGCGCGGGATGTTGGAAGAACCAGAGAAGACCTTTACACGCTTTTCAAGCCGTCTCCCAAGGTCCCAAGTTAGTTATTTTAGCGCGAAAATGATAAAAAGTGCAACTTACAGTCGTTTTAAAAAATGAACCTCGATATCTTTATAAATCTGCTTTCTAACCGGTAAAAAGACACCAGTGAGCAACAAAGAACACAGACCAACTCTCGAGTCAAAATTGCAGTACTTTTCAAAAATGATGTACTTGGGAAGGTGTTTTAACAAAGGAGAGACAAACACTCTGTACACATATCGCTAGTAGCGAGTCGTATAGGGGGCCGACAAGATTTACTTGAATTCGCGGCCATCCTGGTGTTTTCTGATAGCTATGAAATGGCGTACTTTGAGGTGTGAAGACCCATTTGTGGAGTTAAAGACCTACTTCAACAACGCGTCATTTTTTGGAGATACAGGGTTTCAAAATTGAGGTGAAAATTTTGGTTATCTCACTTCCCTTACTTGAATTTGATATCCATAGAGAAAAAAAATATCTGAGAGCAGCCTAACAAAGACACATGTAGTGAGGTAACCTACATTTTGTATTCCACGCGTTTAGTTAGTGAACGTGTGCGATAATAACAACTGAGCGAAAGGAGAAGGGAGGTTTTTGACGGGTCGTGCCCAGTTAAAGGGCTAAAACAAGTGAATTTCAAGCAAAGGATTCTTGAAATTTGAGATCTAGAAATCTTACCTCATGTCTTCTTCGCCTGGTACCGCCTCTCCCCTGAGGTTAAGTAAGATTAATTCTAAGACCTCGGGCACGAATCGATCCGAGTCAATCCTCCTCATGCTATTGCTAAACTTCATCATTAGTCTTTGTGGCATGACCTGCTTGTACGTGTCTGGAATCTGTTCGAACGGATCCTACGTAAAACACGAAGACGGATCAGGTATAAAGTGACCAGGAGATCTACGCTATTTTTTTCCATGAATTCAAAACCGAAAATGTGCTTTCAGTTGTCAACACTACACAACAGTTCTTTGGAAGAGACAGAGAAAGGGAAGCACTCTGAGCAACGCCTCCGCGAATAATGTATCCAAATGACTTCTACAAGGGAACGAGATTAAAGACCAACGCCACTTCTAACTCCGAGCTTAGCCTTTTTTCTATATGACAGACTCCTGGTCATTAAAATCTTGAAGTTCTTCGCTCGTATGCGCTTTATCCACATGCTCGGATATTATTTATGTTAAATTGTCTGTAAAATACAAATAGCCTGAATTATTCTACTTCGTGAGCATAACATTTATTAGTTTTTAAGTGCAGAAATTGCGTCCTTATCAATTAAGATATGATTATGTAATAAATACGATGAAAAAATGATTTTGATATGATATTACCCGCTTGGGTAACGTTCCTTACCTCTCCCCGCCTCATTAAAATCCTTGCTCTCTCTAATGTCAACAGTCGCCAGAAGGAGAGAACGTGTCGCAACTGACAACACTGCTGCGCCTAAACAGAAGCAGATCAGAAAAAAAGCTGTTCTTAAGGCACAATCTAATTAGAGCGTAACGTGCTAACATGAAAAGGTGATCGCGTTGACTTTTATATAGTAACAGACTGTCTGCAAAATTAATATACTATAAAACCCGTTAGAAATAGCTATGGGCAGTTATCTATTTCTGGGTCTGTACACGTTTACTATATTTACAATATTTAAGATATTTCCAAGTTGGAAGACAATTTTCGATTCCTGACACAAAATGAGACATTTGCACATTTCCGTATTTTTACAAGAGTTCTCCCTTTTCTTGTTTTAAGCTTTTATCTTTCTTATTATTTCGCTTTTTGTAAGGTAAAACTCGTAGCAAGAAACATAGCGCAAGGTACATAACTTTTCGTTACCCATTGGGTCTAAAAGGTCTGTGGGTAAACATCTATCCTTCAAAACAGTTGAATTTGCACGGTTAAATTGAATGCTTACCTTAAGACTGCGAAGACTATTTTGTTGAGGCATGCGTAGTACATGTTGAAGGTAGTCTTTTAGCGGCTTTTCAGGTGATCCACCGGTCGAGGAAAGGAAACCGATTGCAATGTCGAGCGACGAAAGCACGTCACAGACGTCTGTCAGTGAGCGAAACTCGCCTAGAATTTGACTGCTTACCGCTGAACTCAATGGAACCTAACAATACGAACAATTTTTTTGAGTCCTCGAAAATATACACTTTACTACACGATCGCAAAAATCTAAATATGACAATTGACCATCTACATGTGCAATTGCGCGACTGTCACCCGGGACCGGATACGTTTTCAATATCCATCCTGTGAATAAGATCTGAAAACCTGCCCGGCTACTTCATTGAAAGAATCACCATAGTGTTGCCAAGGAAAATATGTGCCACTTATGTATACAATATCAACACAGTCATTTTCAGTTCCAAACCCATCGTATGTTATTATTAGTGTCGTTTCTATTACCAATATTGTCATAATAAGTATCACTATTATTGGTATAACTATTATTACTGATAGCATCATCATTATCTTCATCATATTAACTTCTCTCACTACCATTGTTTTCTTGCTAATCATTGGCAACTCCAGAACGAGCTTGTGAGTCACATATTGAATAGGAATCGAGCACAAAAAACGAAATGTTTTACCTGTGGCCGGACCTTGTTTTTCACGGAAGTGAAAACCGAGTCTAACTGGGCGTCTTTGCTGAAAGCAAACCTCTCGTCCTATGAAATAAATACGATATAATGCTCAAAACCTTTTCTTTAGGAGTGAATAAATAACTTTGGTAAAGACTTTGGACAGAAATTTCAGGAAATATTTTACAAACGTTGGACATCATTATGTATATTTGAAGCTACTTCGTACCTTGAAATCAATAAGTGGTCTTCCCCTTATGAACCTGTCAATCAGCTGTCTTTCAAGGGCTTCCCAGTTGTACTGAACCAATGTTCCCCGACCCACCTCTAGAGAGTAATTACACTGCGCCAAGACAAGGGGTAGAAGATCTCGTTCGGTGTCGTATGAAATCAGATGTGACCTTGTCACGTCTTGCAGCTGTATGTGGGGCAGGTCTCTAGTAATCACAGGGAACAATGACATCACACATTTGAAATAAAGTTCAAGTGGTTGCAAGGATACCCAAAGGCTACACAAAGAGGTTTATCATTAAAATCAGTTATTCTTATTTCGGGTCTATATCTACTTATGGCTAGTTTACGGAGAACATGATGTTGATTGCCGATCAGTTGTGATCATAGAATATTCGTATTCATAATTTTTCTTAAAACGTGAAATGTCAGCTCCTAGTCTTCAAAGCGCGAGGTGAAAAAAGTAATTGCTAAATGAAATTGTAAAAAGTAATTGTCGCCACGTTAAAATAGGCAAATTGATCGTTGTACGTTCAGCACATTGGCCATATAGAGCGGGAGCGATATTTGAAGCTACAAAAGGAAATTTACTTCATTATCGACGCAGCATATTGTTTCACTGAAACTTAGAATAGGACTGAAACCGTTGTGAGGTCATTCACGGTACTCTTAGCAAAGTAACTCTTAGGGTGGGTGGCATGAGGAAAAGGTTCCGTCATCGCACTTACTTGACTTTCCCGCCAATCAAGTTTTGATATCTTTCGTTGAACTCGTTGTGAAGCGTGGTGAGGAAAAAAACCAGAGCCGTGGAACAGATACCCATGCCGGAGGTACTTGGAAGGAGTACAGCAACTGGACGTGAATTATTCATGGGCTGGTCACACAAGTCCTTTGGAGGACGTAGACGCCCTGTTTAGGACAATTAATGATTGAGAAGAGATATACTACATATGTAGCTACAATCATAGTCAGTGGTCTGGGACAGTAACACTTTTAACCTTTCTTTTGCTCCTCTATACACCCCGTGGCTCTATGCTGTGCGGACGAGGGGGGAGGAGGGGGGGAAAGGAAAAATGAAAAAAAACATGAACTTGAACTTAGTGAATCGTTTGTTGAAGGCGGGTGAATGCATGAATGGTTTGTGCCGTTTAATAACTTGATAATACCGTAAAATCTAATAGGTTTACGACCTGCTACATTCATGAATACTCGTTTACAAATGCTGCCAATCTAAGCATACCTTGCTGATCGAGACTAAGCCGCACAAGGTTCCATGCGACGTTAAAGCTCTCTATCAGTGACGCAAGTTCACCTTTCTCTGTTTCTGAGGAGGAACACAAAAAGTCAAGGGATTTTATAAAGAGAAAAAAATAAGGAAAAACTAATTTGACAGTCAACTTACTTGAAGGAATATTCCGCAGGAATTCTCTTATCTTCATGCGCTCTGCTTCAGTTCTGTCAATTCGACGATGGAATTTGTCCATCAGAAGACGCTGTAGTTTTATAATGTCCGGCAGAAAATGGAGAGCGCGGAGTCTGTGTTCCTATAAATGAACAACAAATAAATGTAAAAGGCAAAAGGACTGGCAGTTGATGGATGACATCTATCCGTCCATCATCATCATCCATTGGTGCTGCTCATTACCCAATAGCTCGTACCTTATGTTTTAAGAAATTTTTCAGTTCAACATAGTCTCAGTTAAAACCATACTTCACAGCAAATTACGAACTTCAAAAGCAAAAATGGTGCTCTGAAAGCAAACATACGAAACAGATGTAAAAATTGGTAAGTTGAAGTAGTTCAATATGGTTTACCTGCCGTAAAAACTCCGCTAATACTTTGTTCCTCTCAGGATCGGTGGACAATACCTCTTGTTGAAATGTGTGCGCAAAGTGATCAAGAGTCACTTGAGTCCGGTATCTCCATAGGGCAGGGCAAGTGGGAGGGATACCACCACTCAGAGCTTCAGTAGGGACGTCTATCTCGAACAGCTGACGCATTAGGGGATTATTACCTGCGGAAACAATCAAGGGCCATCAATGTGATATTTTATTTCTTGAAAAACAAAAGCGAGACTTGTATTTCCACCCTTTAAACACGGAATTGTCGATTCTCCATCTGGTTCACAATAATTTTATCTAAGATGAGAGGTAACATAGGCATAGGCTTAGATCAAGAGATTGTAAACTCTCAGCAGTTTATAATCTCTTGGCCTAGGTACAAAAATCCCGATAAATCGCCTAAAAATTAGTCCAGAAATTCTCCAAAAAATGACTATAAATTTTATCTCGAAATTTTTTTTATAGATACCGATTCTGCTCAATTGTTTTCCAAATAATCACATACTAAAACACGAGATTCCTGTGCTGAAATTGCATGGACGCACCTTCAAACTGATTCAAAATGATCATTTATTTACTAGACAATTTAAGTGGTTCGTTTCCTTCCATAATTCACTTTCAAACAAACAATAAAGATGACACCAAACAGTAAGCAGTGTAATTTGTACGAACCATGTAAATTTGTTTTTAATTTATCGGCTGTATGTTTCCAAACATTTTCATCTAAATATCCTTAAATGTTCTAAAAATCCTGTTTGCCTCTAAATATCCTAAAAATATCTAGTCCTAAACTGGCAGTACACTAAGCCCATAATTAAATGAGTTCATGGTTTTTCTTATTGGAAGAGTACCAATGTCCAAGGTCACATATTATTATTGTTTCATGTGGAAATGAACTCACCGAGCCGCTTGTCACTAACCAACATTTGTAAGCGCTGTTGAATTTTCTCTTCAAGGTTCTAAAAGATAGGAAAAGAAAATCGGTGGCTGAACAAATAACAAAATTAAAACCTGAACTACAACAAAAATCTAACATACCGTTAAAACTGGAGTAACAACAGTGGCACTGAAGGCTGCTTCCCATCCTCTCCGAGACTCCTTCGATTTTAGGTCATAAGCAAAATCTGCGGCCTGTTGCGCTAAAACGTTTCAAATCTCATTAAGTTACAGATAAAACTGCTTCAACGGGTTTCTATCTATCCGTCTAATAAGGTCAAATCATTGAACCCATGGGACAAACATATGTTCGGCTGTACATAGAAAACAATGTGTAGGATCTAAAATGTAACAGAATAAACACTCTTCTCGTATTAGGGCCATGATATACATTTTGCAATTTTTCCTATTCATTTGATAATTATGCCGAAAAGTGCGAAAAGCAAAGGGACTTAAATTAGGATTTGCAAATTCCCGAGTTCTTTTTCGTCTTTCTTCGAAAACGACAAGCTCTATGGTATTGAGAATTCTTGGAAGCTTACTTCTACTGACATGCGCAGTCATTTGTGCCAGGACCATGTGGATACAAAGCACCGTATCGTCCACACTCCTCCCCAGGCTTTTGGCGAGAACTTCAAAGTCCAATCGCAGGTGATCCCACAAAAATCGTGTCAACGCCGCCGGTGGAATTGTGGGATTGATGAGATTGGAAATATTCTAGACAAAGTAAAAAAAGCAAGACGAGGTTTAACAGGTAGTTTAAAATCTACCCACATAGGCATTATTTAATGTTACTAACTAATTTAATTCGCGGGCCATCAAATGTATAGAATGGCAGAACTTAAATCATACTTTTTTGGTTTAAGCATAGATAATTGCCGTTTATCAAAGTAAATAAAGCACCAAGACTCACCTTCTCTAAACATTTCACCTACTAATTTATTTTTTAATACCTCCTAACTAATCCCTTTGAGTGATCCATTTATGATCACAAAAAAACTGAGCTAAAAAGCAGAAGGAGCACAAAAGCAAGAACAACGATATCTTCAAAAACAATGACAAATGAGGTAAAGGACACTAAGAAAAGATACAACTTCCTTTAGTCTTCTCAGATAATTTCTGATACCTAAAGAATGAGGTATCATAATAAAGAAGGGGTTGTGATGACTCCCAGAGTAACATACTGACAAGTTCTACATTCACATTTTCACCTCTACTAGTTTTTTCTATAAGAAAAGAGTTACTTGTTGAACGAGAAATAATTAACCCTTTTCAAGATATAGTCGAAGGGATAAAGGACCAGCTCACCTGTGGATGCCGGTGGGCTCCTTCAATCATGGCACAGTGCATAAGAATCCGTGTAATGCCGACAAGTACAGGCGACAAGTTCCTTTCAGGAGCAACACCTCTGGACCTTGTATTAGCATGGCCAAGCACGTGACCCGTCATTGTTCGGTCATTTCTACAGACCAAAGATAGCAAAGTCAAAGGTGTTCTTTTGCAAACTTTGGTCACACTAGCCTGATACTCTTGCACAAGTGGAATATATTTGCATTTTTGAAAGCCATTGATTAAGAGTACTTCCGGGAAAGCCCAAGGAACGTCACCAATAAGCAAAAGAATTTAACTCTCAGCCTTACTCTACTACGTGTTTAGAGTAATTTAAATAGCATCAAAGAAATGGCAAAACAATTTGTGTCCGGATTTCCACAAGGTTTTTTAAATCAACACTAATAATAACTTTGACAATGATTAATCTAATGACCACTAAAAATTAAACGGTTAAAATGACCAGATAAAGCTTTGTTCCGTACCTCTGGATTGTTGTATTTCCTTGAGTGAGTTGATGCCCTGACCCACCTATGTTGACGTTACACTCAGGGCAAGTCCTCATTTCCGTGGGGCGCCCACACTGCCAAAAAAAAGTTTATATGGACGATATTAGAGAGATTTAGCACAGCGTTTACGTGAACGTGAATGGCAAGAGTGACAATGTGACCACAATTTTCCCGCCACTTTTCCACGTTACCAGCTGCACTTTGCCGTTTCTACGTGTAAGTAAGCTGTTTTATGTTTGCCGTGTATGTTCACACAAAAAAAAATTTAAAAGTGCACCAAAATAATTTCCTCTTAGTCATGTAAGAGTAGATGAAGTCTCGTGTTTACAATCCTTCAAATTCTGCACTTTTCGACAGAAGAAAGCTGCAAAAACTCGTTGACTCATGTCACGGCTTCATCGAAACTCAAACTGACGTGAGCCCACGCAAAGCTAAAGCAGTAAGGTTCACAACATTTAAGGTTAAACGCGAAAGGGCAAGGTTACGTATGCCGTTTCACGTAAACACAGTGCTGAATCTCTTTATTGCGAGTCTTGCGGGAGAGAGGCGCATGATTGCTGTAATTTCTACTTAAGCTTTGAAGAAAGTAAACGATGGTTGCAATTTTCAAGCAAGGAACTC